AGGCGGGCTGTTCGGGACCCGAGCTGCATAATTCTGAGCTACTTCTTCGGGAGAAAGGACTCGATTGTACAATGCCCAGAGGTAGATGTTGCCACAGAAAGGTTTTGAGGTGCGAAGTGCCATATCAGGAGGCTGTGAAAAAAAGAATAATCGGCTGTTTGGGCTGATAGTTATCCTGACATCAATGACACCATCATTGATAGCTTGACCATTGATATATAGCAAGCAATAATGACGGCCTGCTGTACCAGAAAACGGATCTGGCTCGCAGGTGTATACGATGTGCAGATTCCCCGGCGGAGTATCTCTCAATGAGGGTCCAGGCATAGATGTTGACTCATCGCTGCCTGTAATCACCCGTAAAACTCCTGCTTGTATGACCAAAGCTAAGTCAGGTGCTATTGTATTCGCACTAGGAAAGTCCATGGTAAAAATGATATACGTTTTGTCATCATTATAAGCGATAAGATTGTGACGCATCCATGTTTCCACCGTGAATGTCTGCGATGTTGTAAATATACCGGCCCAGTCTGCGGTCGATTCTGTCGAAGAGACGCGCTCAATAAATTCGGGGATGGAGTCTGAGTTTGTTATGCCGTCCCCAGACTCACGACAAAACGATCCGTTTACTAACAGAGAGCCTAAGAGTGGCCTCTCAGGCGAGCTCGAATCGGGTATTGTACCGGAAAAGCAGGCTTCGTTATCGAAGGTAAATAAGGCAATTTCGTCCGATACACGATCATTCAGGATGGCCAACGACTTGCTAAAGAGTATGGAAACGGTATGAAGAAATTGCAGCAGCAAACGGACTGGAGGTCGACGCAAACCTAACACCTGGGTGACGCTTTTTTGTCTCGACATCTGGATTTCAATATGGTATGCAGGATAGCACACATTCAAATGAGAGTCTCCATACTATGTATTGATACCATTTGCATGGCTAATGACATGTGTACGTATGTCAAACGAGATCGACGAATCGATATCGAGCGTGAGCGACGAGCAGTATGGGCCAGTGACAGCTGACTCGAGATGACATGTTGCCGAAGTACCGAACGCTCTCTGACGGACGGTTTCGGACAGGCTCGGGCATACAGTACAGTAGAGTACATATGCTTTGAGATGCTGATACCACACGTCAAAGTACTCTTCGCATTCAAAACTGAGAGCTTGTCGATTATACTTCTTAAGCAGAAAACACTTGTCAATTACTTTGATTCCCAGAAGTGTGACAGCTTGCCTACCTGTGCCAGTAAACGGCTTTCAAAACTCGCATGAGAATCAGTTTCAGATTGAGAATCAAGAATCGCTAGCACTCCATTGCTCGTGGCAGGGATACATGCATGGCTCTACCGAAAAATACACACATCTCTAGCAGTCATAATCCATCAAACCTGCGACTACGACTGCCAACGAAATGCTATGTGATCGAATCTGAAAAGCTGAAAACGGCATATGCTGTCATAATCTTGGGTACGTTGTGGTAACGATGATGAACAAATCTTACTGCTCGAAAACTTCCCCAAAAAACATACACACTATGCAATGCGTCCGCCCAAGGTGTAATGTCATGAGGGCATACAATTAAATCGAAAGGAAAGACACTAAGTAAAGATGGGTTAGGGAGGCAGAGATCGGACAGTTCTGCGAAAGAATGAGTGGATGAAGAGTTGCCACCCATTATCTTACACAAAATCGCTCACACACTTTGGTTTGTCAAAGCATCATTCACTCATCGCGTGGACTTGAAAGTCGAGGACAACTCCGTCATATCTGAACCAATTGCCCTTAAAATAGCCATCTTTAAAACCAGCTCATCTCGTCATTGTAGGTATTTTATCTATTTTTATTGGCACTCGATCGTGTAATATATCAATATTCTCCAGAGCTTCTCAATGAAAACATCCGCTTCATCATCAAAAACCAAGCGTAGCTCGGCAAGTAGTTTGTTGGGATGACAATGGCTTGTAAGTTTTGAACATATAAACTCTATTAGAGTATTCTCCTCTTCCCCGAGAAGTTCTATTACCTTCGATGCGACCCAGGCTCGCAATTTACTTGACACGAGACTGTTTTTATCTACAGCGACCCAATCGACCGGGTACATTAAAAGGGCTTTTCTATCCTGCGGTATTTTGCTCACAAGTCGCATCTGACGCTCACATAATGGCTTGAATTTGCGTATGTTTGCGCCACAATGCCTCGATGCGTTCGAAGAAGCGTCTTTAGACCATCTCTGATCATTCCTTGCCTGCTTTTGCTCTGTATTCTTCTTCAGAGGCCCTAATTCGTCAGCCGCCGGGGGCTTTGTGTCATATGATGTCCTCATATTGCTTTCACCGACATCGAGCATTACGCAAGTATCGACTTCCCGTAATATTCCTGGAAAATCAACCGTTCTTTGGCAGTCTCTTTTTTGAAGGCACTGCGACCCATGAGAATGATATGTAAGCAGTTTGGCGCCCGTCACATCATTGCTGCCAATCTTTTCGTCATTTAAGCAGCAGCACCCGGACGCTTCTTCGCAACCGTCCCTTGCTTTACTTTTGCTAATTTCGCGCGTCTCTTCTGCTGCACTATGCGGGACCTTCATCTTTGCCTCTCTTAGAATAAATTCTGCTGTCTCATTTCTGCGCTTTTTTTGTCGAATTTCCAAGCGCTCTTGCTCCTCCACACGATGCCGAAGCTCCAGTAATCGATGTTTCTCCTGCAGACGACCACGCTCTGCCTCGGTTGTTCGAAAACGATCCAGCTCGCCTAAAACGAGCAAGTCATGTGCAGTATTTTTTTGCATACCGCTGAGGGACGATGAAGGGTCCCATCCCCCGGTCAAGAGCTCTGCCCTCGACCCACACCCGCTGCCACAGCCTCCTTCTTCCTCTGCCCCATGTTTACACCGTTGCCGCTTCGCAGATGCTCGAACCTCCCCTTCCCCAACATGAACGCGCAGGTGTTGTTGTTCTATGATACTTGTTAATCGTTCTTTTGTGATTTTATCCTGGGCTGCATCCTGTTCGCTGACAGCTAACTCGACCAAGCGCGCAAGCTCCTTGTTGTCTAATTTGACGAGAACCGGTTGGCAGTCCAATTTGACCCCATTCATCAGTTCAAGACATCGCCTGGCGTAGCTCGGCTGCGCATATTGGCAGAAGCCGAAACTTTTACCCATAGCTCGCTTCCATTCAAGTATTTTCCCGCACTGCTCCAGCAGGGTGTAGATTACATGGTCCGGGACCGTTGGAGGTAGTCTTCCCACAAAGACTGTCATTGGGTCATCCTCTCCACTATGTGAGGATACTAGTACTGGTGCTGTACTTGAACACTCTGTCGCGTGGACTCGTCCGTTTTCAGCTATGATGTCACAGTTGTGCCTCAGGCTATCGGCTGCATGATCAGAAAGGGATGCTTCGCTAGCTCTCATGAGAGCAGACGCAGCTTTATCAGCTGGTGGGGAGATAGTTGCGCTTGTTTCACGAGAAAGATGAGTCTGCGAAGATACGATATTTTTGGGCAGAGAGAAGGGCGGTGGGGCACCGCGTGGTGGATCACGGGTCATGTTGAGCGGCGGTCCCGGCGTCGGAGCGAGCTACTGACCCTGTAAAAAAGGAATTTGAGGCGTTAAATCAAACACACTTAGTTGTACGTAAGTAGCAAGGATACTGGGCGCCATCAATGCCAAGCATGGTAATTTCCCATCCACTGACTTTGCTTCCTCAGACCTAGCGGAGGAAGGCGCAGCATGCATTGCATAACAGGCTAGGAGAAAGCCGCACAAGAGCCATCACGGTGGTGGGGCCACGTCCTAGCTCAGGAGAACCTATTTACGACAAGACCAGATGTGCGGGTCACAGCTTCTGGACTGACGCGCACGCGAAACACCGTTTAGGAGCTCAGCGACGGCTGCGTCCGACAGGGCGGGCAAGATTGCCGCTAGACGAGCTTGCTGAGGGCTGTCGACTGCCTCCTGACCCCCCGCTGCTCGGGTTCAATAGGGAAATGCACCGTTCAGTCCACGTCACACGAATATATCAATACTTTAGAAAAATAAGTCTTTTGGACTGTCGCATACCCGATATCCTGAATACACTCTCCTTGCAAAGGCCCAAAAGCTACGTTCCTGACCCGCATTTTTTGTCGGAATCGTCGACATGCGACCGAGAGCTCAGCAGGGTAAATTACGCCGCCGCCACAAAAGAAATGCAATATTTGCAAGCCATGAAAAAAAAAATCCGACATAAACTGGTCCCTTCTTGTACCATTCTTGCTTATTCGGTACATGCGCTAACATTCGATCAGAACTTTGGCTATATTTTTCATGCATACTGTGTTGACCCTTTTTTCCCCTTCTCCACTGATTTCATCATATTTTAGCTATCACCACGTGCCCAGATTGTTATGCAGGTAACCTTTTTTTTAGCTGGGCTCTTTTGCACCTTGGATAGCTTTGCACATTTTTCTACTGTCTTTGCAAGCTACCAAAGGCAAGTAAGTCCGGAAGTTATTTTCTCAATGGGCCATGACGAATGTCTCGCTGGTGATGTTTTAGATGGACAACCACTGAACGCACTCGGTTCGTTACATTTGAATAAAGATTGGATTGCATGTCTAAATGGCGACGGCATTGAGCATATCAGCCGTTTTGAATCGCCCATAGAAGCCGATGTCAGTTCTGAAACAGGGCCTCCTGAAGGGGGCTTTGCGTATGCCTTATCTCCTTTTGAAAACCTTAGCACACCTGCAGAGAAAAACATGTCAATTCAGGTATGGCTGAGCGTACATTCTAACTGGACTGATCATCAGATGGCCGTCATTTTCTCGGTGGGAAATGAGAGCATGCTTCGTCTAAAATTATTCCAAATGAATGCAAAGCTTTTTATCAAGTTTACGGCACCACAAGGCACATTGGGCGCTGCCACTCTCGACATAAGCTTTCCGCTGCCCTATAATACACCACCTACAGCGATTTGCTTGGTTATAACTGCAGAAACGAACTACATTTCAATGGCGGGGACTCCTCGGCAACGCATCGTACATCGGGTGTATGTCAATGGGGTTCACAATGCTAGTGAGAATCAGCGAAGTGCGCTCGATGGCAGACTCACGTATTGGGATGCAACAGACCGCTGTTTTTTTTTTCTGAGCCATCATTTTTAAGCACCGAAACAGTTGAGTGGTCCGGAAGGTTGTTCGAATGGGCATTGTACAATCGAGTCCTTTCTCCCGAAGAAGTAGCTCAGAATTATGCAGCTCGGGTCCCGAACAGCCCGCCC